GTGGCCCCCCCATTTGTTTCCACTAACCAACGGGACCCAGGGGAGTGGTGGGAAAAGCTTCGAAACATGTAGAATCGTCAACTTTTTGAAGGCCATAGATAGGCCTAAATAAAATGTTTTTAATTGTGTACCAGTTTAACGTAGAATATTATTTATGATTTTAACTTTATACACAAGTGCCAAAATACTATAAATACTTTTGGATGTCTCGGAATTTTTGTAATTTTTTATATGAATTCCTCACAAATGTAATTACTTTTAAGTAAAATAATTTACGAGACAGTTGTAATATTCGAGTAAATAAGGAAACGACCTACATATGCAGAATTACTTGTGAGAATGAATAATCCATGTAACAGTATGCCTCGAAAAAATAAATTCATATTCATATAGCTGCATAAGAGATTGTTATAAAATTACTCTTCTTATGAACTTCCAGTGATTTAGCATATATATATATATATATCTAGAGAGAGAGAGAGAAAGCTACGTTTAATAAGGTAATGTAATGACGACCTTCAGGTCTTGTATATTATTTATGAAAGAAGCTGTTGTACATGCAGTTACAAAACATCATTTAGTGTAGGGATCAACAGTCTTTGTAAAATTTATTAAACTTCTCAAAGATTTTTCACGAACAAACAATTATCAGAAGATAAGATTGGTCTGAATAATTTACACTGAAATCCTTTGATACGGTAATATTACCGAGGAAACTAAAACAAAAAAATGTAACTAATATTCAAACATAGTTATAATAATTTACTCTACAAAATGGAATTTTATAATAATATACTTCACAAAAATGGAATTTTAGCGCTTCTTGCAAAGGAGTATTTTCATTTTTAGGTAAATACACCTCACAATGTTTATGGACAAATACTTAAGAAACAACAACTTGACTTTTAACTTTAAGAAACCCAGCTGATTCACTTTGTAAAATAAAAGGACATGTTCTTCAGATGGAATTACTTTTACTGTATCTTTACATCCTGATTCTAAACATAATTATGCTTATTATTTTAGGAAAATTTCCTGTGTTAATTTGAGAATAATCTCTTTGCTTGAGTTATTCATTGTTTTACTGAAATTTAGATGTACCACACTTTTATTTTCTGCTAAGTCCCACAGTTTCTTATGGATCAAGCTGTGTTTCTAAGATTGGAAGGTAAACTAGCAACTTTGTCTTGTGGTCATCATCAGTTATCATCATGCTTGTAACTTCAGCTATCAGTTTCTGCGGATTCTATTTCTGGAAATAAAATTTTTATGCTGCTTTCGCGGAATATTTTCTACTTCATGCATATGAGCTTTTTGAACATTTAAAAATAAACTTTGTTTTTTGTCAGCATATTTGTTTCATACTTACACAAATTGCGCATATACAGCCCTAACTTTGATTTGTTTTGTTTGTAATTAAGCACAAAGCTACACAATGAGTTATTTGTGCTCTGTCCACCACGGGTTCTAGCGTTGTAAGTCCGCAGACATACCGCTGTGCCACTGGTGGGGGGCTAACTTCGAACTGATAAACTACAGAAAAGACAATTAGCCGACAACACCCTCCACTAACTATTGGACGTGTCTTACCTGACCGATTACTATGATTTGAATGTCACTCGTATAGAAAACTCACGGCTCCAAAGTACGAAACAAGTATTTGTAACAAGGAGCCTCGAGCCATGAACCCTCGAATTTATAGCCAGACACGCTAAACACAAGGCAACGCCCGGCCATATTGTAAGAAAGGTTGACTTTCAAAGTGCTTTAACAACTTTCTATCTTTTATATTCAAATTTATGTATAAAATAAACATTAAATTTAAAAATGTTAAAATATTTGTGAAATCAATTAAGATATCCCACTAATCAAAGCTTTGATATTTTTTACATTTTTATTTACTCCACTTTTCCTCACCTCATGAAGTGTGAACACGTATAATTCACATATATGATGCTACTATGAACTTTCATATAATCTTAAGTTGTTCTTGTCATTTTAAGATATTCTTAAGAGAGTATTAGTTGATTTTTTAACATTAGCTTTGGTTATCAGTTTATATTTCATCGAAGATATTCTGATATAGAGATCGATCAAATGCGTGATTTCATATTATTAACAACCACATGTGTTAAAAGAACTAAATTTGATCGGTTTTAAAAATATTCAAACAAGAGTTCTGATGAAGATTGATCTTATGCTAAGATAATGAAGAATACTGGAACGATTTTGAAGAATACAGTTTTCAGATCATGACTTTCAGAATCATGTAACAAAAACCTTTCATTCACGCATTTTCCTGCTTTTTCGTTTTGGCACAAAGCTACACAGTGAGTTATCTTCGTTGTGTTCACTGCTGCTTTTACTTAAGACGCTGGACAAAGTGGTCGGAGGGGCGGGAAAAAATGCAATAACATTTGTAGTGGCATTTAACCACTTGGTAGGTAGAGCAAGTTTTAAGTAAAAACTAAAGATAAAATATTATTACTTTTTATTTTGCCTATATGACGTCTTTTTACATTCGCTAGAAAAGAGAACTTATGCTTGGTATTGTTTCTGACAGTAAAAAACCTCAAACATTTCTTATGTCGACAAGACATTTAACACATTTACACAGCTTTAAGTCAGAACTCCAAACGTGGTTCTACTTTAAAACTTTCGTTTTATAATAGAACAAAATGCAACTTTTCTTTAACCAACCACCTTGAGCCCTCAGTGAAACAACAGTACGTCTGTGGACTTACATCGCTAGAAACTGGGTTTCGATACCTGTGGTTGGCAGAGCATAGATAGCCTTTAGTGTAGCTTTGTGCTAAACTACAAAAAACAAACCACCTTGAAAGTAATATATGAAAGTGGCTATATGATAACAAACCACCTTGAAAGTAATATAAAAGTGGCTACATGATAACAAACCAACTTGAAAGTAATATAAAAGTGGCTATATGATAATAAACCACCTTGAAAGTAATATAAAAGTGGCTATAAGATAACCAATCAGTAAATCACTCTGGAATTTTTTTCACGTTATGAATGGAGATTTAACAATTCTTAAAGACTCAGTAAACTAAACGTATTTAACCTAAATCTTCCCTCTTGTGTTAAAAGGATATCCGTAAACAAACAAAACTTCTAATAAGACAAAGTGAATGACCAGTGATGTAGCAATGATATTTATAAACAGAGACTAAATGATGGCATTAGTGAACATCTACAGACCACTAAACTTAAAGTACCGTGCCTTAATTTTCCATTAAAGTATCCTTGTAAATTATTAAATACAACTTTAACAATTCGGAATGCAAAATGTGGGGATAAACAGAATATGCTATGATTACAGTTGAACTCATTATCTTAAGGTTTCAAAGAGCTTATATA